CATACTTTGCTCGCAGTAACATTCAACTTTGCTCCCAAAAAACTCTCATTCTTTCCTTGCACAGACATATATACTTGCTTGCACGTATATTCTTACTCCACTTAACACTTGGCATATATACATACTCTCATGAATATATTCATTGCACAAAAAGTAAGGAAATTTGTGTTTGGTGGATTATTTCTTTGTTGTAACAATGCTTCTTGGCAATAAATCTTATGCCGTTTGAAGGAAAGCCTGTTTATTTCTATTTTAAAAGGTGCTACATGCATTTGTGGGATGAGCAGCAGAGCTGAGTAAGTGGGTTGCGCCCATGAAAACTTGCCAAATCGTCTCTGCCAAACAGCTTATTCTGCTGTTGACTCTTGTTTGATGTTGTTTAGTGGATTGGATTATTGTAGTCTGAAGAAACAAGACATATTGGCAATTTAACAATTTATTAATTTAACAAACAGGAGCCTCAGTAGCATGTGGAAGAACCATACACAGTCTCAACAGCCTGGTCACACACTGCTGTGGGATGACATCCCATTCAGCCAAGTCAGCCAATGTGGTTATGTTGGTCACTGGCATGAACAGCACGCCCAAGCTTATCCCACAAGTGTTCAATGGGTTTGAGGTCAGGACTGCAGGCAGGCCATTCCTTCCTCTCCACTCCCAAATTCTAGAGGTAGTCTCTAATAAAGCCCGCTCTGTGGGTGTGAGAGTTGTATATCTTGGAGGAAAGAGTTCGGTCCCAGATTGTGGAGATATGGGATTTCCGCTGGTTGCAGAATCTCATCTCTACATCTGCCTGCATTGAGATTTCCTCCAATGATGCCAAGCCTTGTTTTTCCAGTTAGGGAGATGCCGCCCCACACCATCACACTGCCTCCACCAAAAGCTGTTTCCCTATCAGTGCAGCAATCTGCATAGCGTGTCTTCTCCACACTTTGACCTACTATCTAACTGATGTAGACTCATCGCTGAACATAACGTTCCTCCACATGTTCAGGTTCCAGTGCACGTGTGCCGACCCCAGCGCAACGGGCCTGGCGGTGAAGGGCAGTCATGGCAGTTGTTTGGCATTGGCAGAGAAGATTTGTCAAATTTTTCATGGGCGCAACCCATATACTCAGCTCTGCTGCTCATCCAACAAATGCATGTTCCTTACAAATGTGGCACCATTTAAAAGGGAAATAAACGGGCTTTCCACAGCCCATGGTTGAGCTTGTTGAGCTTCTCAACTCCGAAAACACAAGAACATCTCTTTGATTCGATGTTAATGTAAAACTTAATTTTACATTAACAAATAATTAGATTAATAATTTTCAACATCGATTTAAAAACATAAAGTAAAAAAGCTCCTAGAATTGAATTTAGTGATGAAGTAGGCTAAGAACCAAAACTCTTTACAAACCTTGCCTCCCGATCTAGTGGCAGACTTGGTCAATTCCATTTTTTTAATAAGGAAGTTAAAACAAAGATTGCTGGAAATGATAAATGTCAAAGTAACAAAAATTCCATGTTGTAAATAATACATTTTAGCAGGGTGTTGCGTACGATTATTGGTGGACAGTAGTTATTTCATAACTTGAACATTTTATCCTATTTTTCAATCTCCTCCATTTTTATCTTCACATTTTGTTTGGTTTCACCCTTGAGGTCCGTTTTTTTAAATAAAGTAGAACTATCTGAAATGGTACTGATCTGAGGAGTAAGGGGCTTGAATCTGAAGTCTATGATCATGCCCTTAGTCTTAGACACATTGAATTGAATAAGATAGAGTTGTAGTTACAATGCTACAGCCAGTAATAATGGTAAAAGTATGTATAGTATTAGCTGTAACAGCTAAGTATATTCATCTACTGGTCAGTCTAATGACCTTAGCAACTGTAATGATGATTAAACTGGGATTGGATAAGGATGAGTATGAGGAGGGAACAGCATTGGGATCTCTTCATTATTTAACAACATAACTTTTGTAATATCAACACTTACACTTACTTTATATCAAGACTTTCTTATTTCCAGATAAAACAAGCCTGTGGTGCCTTGAACAACAAATACAGTAGTTTCTTTTTACATTCCACAATTGCAGTCAAAGGTTAACTCAGAGTAAACCAAGAGAATTATAAAGAGTCAGGAAGCAGCTTTAAATACTGTATGTATAGCTAATAGTTCAGTAAAATGATCAGTCAGTTACTACTTATTATGATGCCTCACTTTACTATGAGGTTAACTAAAGAAGTAAGATATGATTAGGAAATGATACAGTACTGAGTAACAACCCATTAGGATGTCTCACTTTACAATGGGCTACACAAAAAAGTAAGTAATGATTAGGCGATGATTCAGGATTGAGTAGCTTCCCTACTTCATTCTCTATTAAGTAATAATTAGCTACTCATTGAATTGGATGAGAAGTTATTTAGTATTTACCCATTAACTGATGGTTAACTAGTAGTTAGTTCTCATTTGTTTCATAGTTACTGTGCAACATTTTGTGTAGTTTATCTTGCATTCATTATCTGTTAGATAATCATTAGCTACTCTATGATTTGATGATGAGTTACTATCTACCCAGTTAATCATTGTTAACTAGTAGTTTCTCATTCATTCCCCAGTAACTTTAATAATGTAAAGTTTTACCAAAAAAACATTAAAAAACATAAATATCTTACCTTCTCTGTTACTGGCTGTTCCTTACATGTAAAGCTTTTGCTTCATATTAATATGTACTCTGCTCACACATATACATAAGTACTCTGCTCACACTTTTATACCTACTCTGCTCACACATATACATAAGTACTCTGCTCATACATATACATAAGTACTCTGCTCACACAGTGCATTCTCTGCTCACACATATACATAAGTACTCTGCTCATACATATACATAAGTACTCTGCTCACACATATACATAAGTACTCTGCTCATACATATACATAAGTACTCTGCTCACACATATACATAAGTACTCTGCTCATACATATACATAAGTACTCTGCTCACACATATACATAAGTACTCTGCTCACACATATACATAAGTACTCTGCTCACACATATACATAAGTACTCTGCTCATACATATACATAAGTACTCTGCTCACACATATACATAAGTACTCTGCTCACACAGTGCATTCTCTGCTCACATGGGTCTTTGTTATATAGCAATGAGTATGGTATTTTACCTGCTCTTTTGTAATATCATATAACAGAGAATAAGGTCTTTCACCTGCTTTTTGTGAAGTGTCTTGAGATAACATTCATCATGAATTGGTGCTATTCAAATAAATATTGATTGATTAATTGATTTACTAATACAAACATATTTTATTCACACATACCAATACATATGTCCCAAATATACACATACACATACTCTCTACACATACATGTATGCATGAATATGTATGTATATGCAAGCATTTATGTAATCATGAGAGTATGTATATATCTGTAAGTGTTTAGTTTGAGTTTGTATGTATATAGAAGCAAAGAATGCCTTTATTGCCTATGCAGCTTCTCATACATATCAGCTAGTTTTATAGATCAAAGCTACATCCTCATCCCATTTTGCACACAAATCTGAAAAATATAGCAAGGATCCGTTGAAAAAAAAAAGTTTTTTTAATACATTTATTAAAAGAAATGTAAAGTGTATGAATGCATGTATGGGATTGTTAATTCAGAATGTTTCTGTTGTGACTTACTCTTGCTTTTTACTTACTGTTAAGAAAACTTTTTTGGCAGATGTTTTTATTCAAACATTGATTGAGCTTCTCCAGTTCCTTTATGATGCCCTCTTTTTTTTTTTACAAAAGGTATCAATATACTCGTTACATCACTTGTGCAATATTTGTTCTTTGCCTGTCCAATCTCCCATCACTAATATTCCACCCAGCAGCTCTGATACTCGTTTCGTCTGTAGCCTTTAGACCCTCTCATTTCCTTTTCAGACGGATATGAACTCTGCTGACAGCACTGTCATCAGACGCATCATTGTCTGCCGGCCAACAAACAAGAGCAGACAAACAAGGAGGGACAGGTTGTTTCATACAGATCACGAACCAAACACTTGATATCTCCGATGATAACACCCTCAAGACGACTTTTTGAGAAAATCACGCTTGTGAAACATCCTCATTTGGATGGAAGCTATCTTTTGATTTGGAATTGCTTGTTCTATTTTGGTGTGTTATCTGGAGAGAGGCTGGCAGTCCTTTTGTCTACTGATGAAGGTACATTAGGATGCTCTGAGGAAAACGTCTTTTGTTGACTATTACTTTAAAAAACATAAACAACCAGGCAAACTTTGAACAAAAATATTTATATTAATATGTGTACCTTTCATGGTCACTTACACAAAACAGTTACAATAACTGACAGAGCATTATTTCATTAAAAATAATAATATCTCCATTACATTTCATACCTTTAATTTATCCAATTAATACATACAGCAATATTTTTTACAAATGTTGTTGTTTATAAAATAAATTATATGCTCATATAATATGCTGGATGGGTGTGTTTTGACATGAAGGCCCTGTTTCAAAATAATAATTTGTATTTCTGGGAGGGTATAATCATAAAAAGTTGCATTTGTAATATGCATACAAAAAAAGTATATTTTTTTAAATATGTAGTTATCATTATTTGATTCAGGGAGATTTGATATGCTTTCCTCTTTTCAGGCAAAAAAAATCCACAGTGGTATTTATAAACTCTGATCTTTTGAGATGGCTTGGTCCAATTTTCATAAGAAAAAGATGACGGTTATGTTAAAGGGAGAAGACCACTTCAGTCTCAAAAGGGGGGGGGTACATCAGACTGCCTCTTTTTTTGCTGGCTGCGAAGTGTCTTCAACCTATACACATTGGTATCCATTTTCGTTATGAGATTAAGTGGACTGTGATTGTAATGAGTTAAGGATTATCATCCAGTTACCAGTGGTTTATGTTTGAGGGAACGGTCTTATTTTGTACAAAAATACAAAAAGAACAAAAAACTTTCCCAACCGGCACAACCTCCACCCTCCTTTATTTTCCTTTGGATCTAGAGTAGAATGGGAAAGTGCGTGCAGTAATTTTTGGAAAACCTCACAAAACCTTGATTCAAAGGTACATTTTCTATTTTTTTAAAGGCAAAGCACATGTCAATGAATTTGCAACATTCATTTTGGTCTTATAGTTTCAATAAAACCAACAAAAACTTGAATAACAGCAATGGCATGTCTACACAAACAATACAAAACACTAACACTAGAATTGAGTTTACTTTATACAATCAGAAAGACTTTCCTAATGCCTCACCAACATGTGCTGGTATACACTGTCATTTCATCAAATATGGAAAGGACTCTAACATGGTCTGATACACGAATAAAATGATACAGAAAGAAGACCTCATTTACAAAAACACATCTTAAAGGAACATTACATACACTGCTATCTCACTTTAGGTTGTGCTTTAAGATTAGGATGTGGGTTCATTTTACAAGTGAATACAAAAATACAAAAATGAAAATCAACTAATATTTAACATAAATATTAGTACTGTATGAGTAGGATTGATCTATGCTAGAAAGCTCATTCCTCTTTAAACCCTGACCTTAATGTACACTTTCAGTGAATGCTTTTTATATGAGACCTCTTCACCTCCATCTAACATTAAAGCAGAAAGTAAAACTCGAAAATCTATTTTCTTTAGAATTCTATGAAACTAAAAACTACAATAAAGTATGTGTAGTTTGGTTGTTAGTGTTAATTGTAAAGTAAGTCAAAATATGATTCTTGTCTCACTAAGCTCCTCATTTCAACACTTTAGGTGAACAATAGGCCGCTAGAGTATGTAGCTTTTGATGGTATATGACTCCATCAGCTAACTAATATGCAACATACGTACGTATATGCATGTGCTAGCATTTGAGGAGATATAATCGTCAAATATGTTTAGAACAATGAATGGAAAACCTCTCTTTGATCAAATTATTTTTTTCATTTTGAGTGTTCATAAAATATGCTACCGTCTACAAAATAGCATAACTTTACTGTATGAAAACAGCAAATTGCAAGGCTCAATTTCTGTGAGTTACCTGGCTTGGAAGATTAAAAAAACAAAACAAAAAAACAGCTGTAGCCCAAATCAGAAGTGAATGAATGTAAACATGTTAAGAATCTGCAGACATAATATCCCCTCATCCTTCCTTCATCCTGTTCAGTCCGTCCAGGGTTATTCAGCTGCCTCATGCTGCTCCCTCTCCTCAGGAACAGACATAAAGATCTTCTGACAGAACATGGTGAAGATTTCTGGGAAAAAAAACAACTCATATTAGCAATGTCTTTTTTTCCTTCACTCAGTTAGAACAGGTCAGATTTCTTCAGATAGTATTAAACATCTGAGCAACATCTTGGTTTGTGTCCCTAGCACTAACTATACAAACAAACTCACGTATCAGTGCTGCGTATCAGTAGATATTCTCGCAGGAATTTCATAACAAAGTGTAATAAATGCTTCTCCAGCCATGCCTGAACAAATACACATAGCTGTTAAACAAATATGAACGCTTGGCTCACCCAGCATCTTCTTGACCACATGGGGTTTCTTCCACTTGTAGCCCAGGAGGTACGCCGGGATGCCTGTGAGAATAATGCTGCAGCCTATCAGGCACTCGAATGGAGCCGCCCAGAAGGAAACAGCGATCATGAACACACAGCCCAAAACAAAAGTCACAGGGATGAAGAGATACACCTGATGGAAGAAAACATAATAGGCATAGTTTATTGTTCCTGTTAGAAAAGAGACAATAAAACACTATGTGACAAAATCAAAATATTTTATAGACCAAATCTTGTGAAATATCGTAGTTAGCTATTTTCAAAGTCTTTTTGGGACATTTCTGCTTGGTCATACAGTAATCATTTCTAAAATTAAACATGTTGCTTCAAATACTTGGGAAGTGTGAGCAACTGGAAGGTTCATATAACGCATTTATTGATTACAATTTTGAAATGCATTTTCCACCTTCATTTTGTTACCCTCCTACATTTAATTTGATAAATAAACTTAGTAGTTGCATTCTAAAAATGAAGAATGATTTTTTTTTAAATTGATTGATCCAGAGGATAAATAAAAATGTACCCAGCAATGTTGCTGTTTTTTAAATGCTAAAATGTGCTAATGTGCAGTTGTTTCTTTGAATATTTTCTGTATTTTTGACTCCATTGCTTAAGAAAAAAATACAGCTTCAACACCTTGTTTCTTTTGTCAAATTGCTTTTTTCACTTCAGCAAACGACAAAGCAAGAGTTCTTCTTCCATTCCTGGTTAAAAATAGTTACTTTCTTTATGAAGAAACAACAACCAGCTACTGTTAAAATGATATCCCAATGTTATGTGGACATTCATTACATTGTCACATTACATTTATACAGCTCATGCTGATTTAAATGCATCTTTACATTTTGAACTGGCAGTTTATTATTGCAAAAATTCAGACCCTGCAGTTGTATAACTGATCATTAAAGGTACAGGTTCCAAAAGTGGTTTACATAAGTATGAGGATAGCTCTATTTATACCTTATAAGAGGTTCACTTTAAAAACAAGAAGGTTCAGATATCCAGGTTCAAAAGAAAAGATAAAAGACTATGGTCAAAGTTATATTACCATGATGAAAGAGGAACAAAGAGTCATGTAATTGTGCTTATAACCACTCCCCTCATCCTGAAAACACAGCATGGTCCACTTCCAGATAATAACAAAGGCAGTGGTACAATGGGGCTTTCATAAAAAAAATAAACAATGAAATAAAAATGTAGGTGCTGTATGAAACCAGGAGACGTGTTTATGTTTTGGACAGACAAAGAACTGGCTGAGGTTCAGGTACATGAAAGGTCTTGGTTACCTTTCAGTAAGTCTTAAAATGGCTTTTCATAGATAGATATCTCAAGTGCAACAAGCATACACAACCTGTAATACAACTTTTTAGACATTGCCATTCTACCTTAATGGGCCTTCTGAGGTCAGGTTTGGTAATGCGCAGCCAGAGCATGCCCGCAATGGCCATCCCAACACAAAGCCAAGTGAAGAAGCTGAAGAGATTTATGACTGAGAAGATGTCCTGAGAGATGGTGTACAGCATGGACAGAAAACACTGGAAAAAAGGAAGACAAGGCTGTTTCAGTCTTACAAACAGTATAAAGCATATAGAAACATATCTTGTTTTTTGCAATCAAAAGTTATAACTAGTATCTCATAGTACAGAGGGAATACTCATGTTTAAAAGAATAACTACTGTAGTAGTCTGAAAAGGCCTGGAGTCTATGGAAGCTCACAGCCAATTCACCATTTTTTAAAACAAATTTTGTTGGAAAAAGTGGTTTGAAGAATCCTTATTGTGGCTGTTAGCTAGAGGGTTCTTACAGTGAAGATAAGGGACGGCACTGGTGTGAAGAGGTCTGTGTGGACCAACCCCAGAGCAGCAGGGAGTTGACCCTCTCGCGCCCCAGCATAAAACAACCTAGAAGATGAGAAAACACCAGATCATATCCATTCCAAAACAGTTTTTTCTTCAATACTTTTTAATTCGTTGTGTCGGTTTTTCAATAAAGCTACAAGATTTGAAGTATTCAAATTGCTGTTGAAGTCTGTCCTCGTGAAATGTGACTGGAACATGTTTTCCAAACTGCATGTTGCTGATCTTTCTCAGAGACAGTGTAAGACTGCCAGCATTTTTTTCATGTTTGGGCAATACTCATTTTCAACCGATGAATCAGTGCATAATAACTACGCTCATTCCAAACTCCAACTCCTTTTGTTAACTCAGGAAAAGACAAATGTCATAAACTGTTGTATAACAATAGCATGCAACAAATACAAACCTTGCAGAGGTGAATAAGGACCCATTGACAGCTCCGAAACAGGACAATCCCACAAAGACAGGAATAAGCCAGGCCATAACACCAAGATGATACTCCCCAAAACTCTGTCAAACAACAATATGATTTATGGACGCTCCCATTTTGTCAAAACACAACCTATGAAGTGAAGTTTGCCAGTAGCTCTTGTGATTTTTGTAGTTTAAAGCTCACCACAGCAACAGCCTCGGACTCGACCATGACTTGTGGTGAGATGGTGGTGAAGTAGGCCAGGTTGGTAAGAACGTACACCACCGTCACTATAGGCATTGATATGATTATGGACAAGGGAAGGTTCCTGCGGGGGGGGGACACATTCTGTAAGAACATTTGAAAGTACTGCACTGCATTCTATATTTGATTTTTGACTAAGTTTTTGATCAGTCATGCATAATACTACATAATACTATACGACTACATAATAAAATGTATCAAAAATAAAATAGCACATGCTTCATAGATAAATGAAGTTTAACCCAATGCGAAGCATATTTTTTCTTATTATTTAAGGCTGCTACTTTATTGGATTTTGATAATATTAAAATATCAGGAAATCTAGTATGCTTTTCTCCATGCAGTCAAATGATGATAAATCAGTTAAATCATGGGTGCAGGTAGTCATGATGTTTGCATATATTTACAGGGGAGGCTGTACAATCCTCAATACAACCTTCATCACATTTAAGTCACCTCTCTGGATTGATCATCTCCTCCGTTACATAATTCAGGTAATTCCTGGAAGAAAATATGGAGCAGGAGCACTATTTTAAGGACTGGGTAAAGACTTGAAATTACATTGCATTGCAAAAACAAACAGTTAGCTGCTATAAATAAACTATATTTCTGGTCTGTTCTTTTTTTTTTTTTTTTTTTAAATTGTTACAGTTCCCTTACCAGCCTCCAAAAGCGAAAAGACCACTGTACAAGGCCAAGACAATGTTGTCCACTCCAGTTTTACTGCCTTCAAACGCCTTTTCAGGTGTAAGGTACGGCACATCACCTGCACATAGACAGTAAGAAATAAAGCCAAATAAAACATCTGAAAGAGAAACCAAAGTGAAGTAATCCTGTGGGTTTACAGGCCTGTTCTGGATTCAAATTGAGGGCTGCTGTCACTTCTTATTTCTTGCATGAATGCCAGTCTGTGTTTGCTTGCCCACTCAAACACTTGACATTTGCAACCAGGAACTTGCCTGTTCTGTGTTTATCTGATCACTTTGTCTCACGGTTTGAGCATCTGCTTTGACGTACTGAAATATAATCAGACCCTGTCCAAGTGACATTTGAAAAGGAGCAGAAATGTCTTTTTAATAAGTACACAGATGTATTCACAGCAGCTATCATTAAAAAAGGAAAAACTGTCAAGTAGTGTTTAGGAGTGTGTGTTTATGTGTGTGTGTGTGTGTATGTGCTTAGAGTCTTTGTTGAGCAGGACTCCCTTCTCTACCTGTCGCTTTCAGATGCTAATGACTCTGCTCTCCATGAGGCCTATCACACACACATTATTTTCTCACTCTGTCCTTCTCTCGTGCGCTTTGAAAGACCACAGTGTGACAACAGCTTTGCCCGCCTAGTTTCCATGGTTACACAGTGTCGAGCACAATGGTGGTGAGCTTGACTTGCAAAAGGGGGGAGAGCAGCAGATGTAGCATGGAGCAAACCATTGCCTCCCTGTCTTCCCGCTTTTTTTAAAATTTGAATGGCGCGACTAGTTCACTCAGATGCTCCGCTATTTCAGTTTTGTAAAGAATAAATGTAAGTTTAGGATAGAGCTAAGATAGAGCTGACATTGCACATATGAATCATTTAAGGAGCAGTTGCCTCTGAGCCTCATATGAGTGTATTAATTCCATCTTGTTCTTTTAGGTGCATGATGTACAGATGGGTCATGTATGACACTATGCCTGGCAGAATTCATCTTTAAAGCACCACATACTGTAGATTCATATGCACATGGCTGCACAATTACTCAGACCCAATCACTTGGCTGCAGACAGACAGGCCTTGTGTTCAAACTCAGTATGTGTGTTAACAGAGTGAAAGGAGGGCAGTCTGCTTGATTGAACTCATTAGTGTTTGTCAACTATTTGTTGATCATTAGAGACAAAAGAAATTAACCTTGGTTGTAGTGCCACCATACAGTCACCTGGATTGAACAAAAATTGATAAAACTATACTTTGATAAGAAGGTTGACAGAACTTTTCTTTTGTTGCACTTTAATTACCATCAATATTGCAGTAAATAATGAAAATATTTAGGAATTGATTTTATAACTGATATAACTGTTTGCAGCCATGTGTTGGACACTTGTGAAAAGCAAAGGCACAAATACAGAGCTTAACATTACATGTTTGTTTTTTAACTGATCAATTAATCATACTTTAATACTCTTTAAGGTTTTACATTAAATCAAAATCTTTATGTGGATTAAATTAGCGTTCATTTGGACAAGTTAGGGATGATGAATTGTACTATGAATTTAATCTTGGCACAACCTTCATTACATGCTCACAAACATCAAACTGCAACCAGTTTTTTTTGAACACTTAAGTGTTAATGTCATTGCTTGTTATTTAATATTTACAATCTTACAATACACTTGTTTAACTTTCCTAGTTTGTTCCTTCTTCTTACACGTTCATCATGAGGTTTAACAGGGCTGATACCAGGTAGTGAAACACAAAAGGCTACAAAACCCAGCTGGTAGTTGTTAATTGATATATAGTTGAGAAATGACACAATTCTAAGTGATTAATGTGTTATTATAACTGCATGCTCATTACATGACCATTACAAACTATAAACTAACGGGAAAAACAAAGACAGTCTGAAATGTGCTGTGACTTTGTATGACTCTATCTGTTGATCTGTGAGTAGGTGGAACTCACCTGTGGAAATCTGGATGAAGCCAAAGAGGATGATGGTCATGAGGGCTAGCAACTTGGAAGCTGTGAACAAGTCCTGGACCTTGGTGGCAGCTCGCACACTGATACAGTTAACAAATGTCAGAGAGGCTACAGGAAATGACAAAAAGGGCGGGGAAATTAGAGGTAATGTCATCTCAGAATAAATGAATCATACAACTGAATTTGGTTGTAATGTTTAAGAAAAGGTGCTTTTACAGTTGTTCTTTGTTCAAAACCAGCAAAAAATCTCTCACTCACTAAGACACAGGCAGGCAATGAGCTTAGCAGCACTGTCAGGCACAGCGCAGTTTGGGTAGAGGGGTTTCAGAAGGTATGTAGCGAACACCAGGGACACCACATACTGGGATGAAGGCCGTATTATTAGCATCTCAACCCACAGCTTCAGAAAGGCCGCCAGTTCACCGTATATCTCCAAAATGTAGGTGTAATCACCCCCTGACTTGGTGATGGTGGTGCCCAACTCGGCGTAGCACAGGGCACCCATAGTGGAGATCACTCCACAAACAGACCAGACAATCAGGGAGAGCCCAGCCGAGCCGGTCTCTTTGACCACGCCCGTAGGAGTGACAAAAATGCCAGAGCCGATGATTGTGCCTATGATCATTCCCACACCATTAAAGAGGGTGATGCTGCGTTTGAGCTCGATCTTGTCGCCTTTGGCAGGTGAGCTGCTGGTTGGGCTGGCGACAGCATCAGCAGATACAATAGGGGTGGTCGGAGATGACGGCTGCTCCGCAATCAGACCATCTTGGTCTGGGTCTACTTCAGCTGCTGGAGGAGAGAAGAAAACATAACAGGGGATGAAATAAGAGAGCTTCACACTTGAGGTACAAACATTTAGTGTGTGAAGACTAAAACAAAAACCAATCAATAGTGTGTTTTTTTATTTCCTTCCCTGGGGTATTTTCATGCTGTCGTAATGTACAGAATATATATATATATATATACAAAACTTTCATGATCACATTAACAGCATTTTCTCTAATGTCACAACATGTGTCAAGCAGGGAAGGAAAGTAGGCACACATAAAGGCACACAAGGTCTTTAATTGGGTAATATGAGTGCATACTCCTCATCTGTCAGTTAGTTCACCTGACAACATCACATAATCATTAAGAACTCAATGATGGATCTTAACAGCAAAATCAAACAGAATGTACTTTGGCATTAGGCAATGTTGCATCAGAGCGCATGGCGGGATAATGCCGCCTTGCACCATGTGGTATCTACAGGAGATTGAGCATGCACTGTACCTACCCCCCATCTTCTCCTGGCTCACCGCCTTGGCAATGCTATCCCGACTGCTCCGTGATTTCAGCTCCGGCTCAGCCATCTTCTCCTCTTAATCTGGGTTCCCTTGTCTTGTCTGTTTCCTCCTTATCCCCTTTTCCTTCCTCCCTTTATGTCCCCTTCCTCCTCCTGCCTGGATTTCCTCTCTGCCTCCCTCACATACAAAATCTCACCCCCCCCCCTCTACTCTCTCTTCAACCCTCTCTGATTCGTCCTCTCTCACACACATGCACACGCTCTCTCCTCTTCATTTGCAAACACGCTGCCTTCGTCACACAGACTGGAATCAAGCTGACCCTGATCCTCTCTCTGACTCTCCCTCCCTCCCTCTCCAAGATACAGCAGGGAGGAGCTGAACCTTTGTGATGCTCCTGCTTCCTGAGCCCACACCCACTCCAACTGAATGATGGGATTGCTTAGAGTGGGAAGTAGGTTACTTGCAGGCACCATTTGGAGGGTCTGTCATGTGATGCTGTAATCTCTCCTAGTGCTGCCTAATCCAGTAGTCTACAGTCTGTCAATGGGTGTCTGTTTTTGCCATCATGTCATAGTAAATTAGTGGAGGATGTTGTAAATCTGGGGCTCCCTCTAGTGGTGTTACCCAAGTAAAACAAGTGTCTTTGTTCTCCCTCTGTCATGCAGCAAGGTGACACACCACAGAGAAAATGGAGACTAGCGAGCCATATTCAATGTAGAAAATGCAGGGTGACAGATGAGCCACAGTATGTTTTAGCATTGCCTGATGCTTTTTTTCCAACCGATTTATTTCCAGAAAAGGGTCTCAATTCTCAAAAGCTGATTAAACAGGATCAACCTTTACATCCAATTGTCATACAGCCCCATAACAATTAGGGTACTAATGTACAGACACATGGTTTGTGTGATAGTGCTCGTTATAGTATTTAGTTTGAAATTATGGACAAATTAGAAAGATAGAAAGAGAAGTTAAAATAATAAAAACATTAACTGATACATAAGTACCAACATTGAGAAGTTTGATTGCCTCAAATTATGTCAGGAACTGGGCCTGAAGTGAAAGGTTGTACGTCCAATTTAAACCACCAGATGTCGACCGTGAGAAGCGCACACGCACACACACACGCGCACGCACACACGCACACACACACACACACAGCAAGTTCGAAACGCACCGAACCGGCACTTGATGTGTTGTTCAGTAGTGCAACCACTTGGTTTCACTCAACATGAAATAGCTAACTTGCAAATAAGTAGTTTAAAGTTAGATAATTATAATAACTGTGTTTATAGGATACAATGATCAAGTGTTTTCGTAAAATGAGCATTCCGAGAATGAGCCCCGTTCTGTTTGAGCGCCAGTACATGCTCACTTGCATTACTAGTAACGCTGACAAAGTCGACAAGCAATCTCCGAGCTCAGCTCATGAGAGCATCTTAGCTTTGGAGGAGGAGTGCGTGCCGACGTTGGAATCATCCAGGGCACTTTCTGCCACGAGTCCGGGGACTTTCCCCTGGGCAGGCGGGGGAGAAACAGTGTTCTCTGCATGTAGCCCAGATAGCAAGCCTTCCGAATGCCCGGATGTAAATAAGAGTACAGGAGTTATAAGTAGGTAGGCAGATTGAACATATTTTCAATCACGGTTTAGAAAATGTTGATAATGTTTTTGCATTGTAATGTTGATTTTATGACGTTAAAGTAATATTCTGCTCTTACGATCGTCTTAGGCGTTCGCGAGCGTCCAGTTTTAGAAACAAAACTTTTATAAACCGCGAGGAATCATGGGAAATTTTAAAAGCGTAGTAGTTCAATTGGACGGGGAGCACATAAAATACATGTAAAAGTCACTATTTATTTGGAAATGCACAAGGTGTTCTCATACATAGCGAATCATTATTTCTGACATAAGCTTGAAAGTCAATATGTAAATTAATTTTAAGCAGAACACCGATTAGAAAAAAATTGTATTGTGATATGCTATAGGCAAAAGGTTAAAGAGCCTAACTGCAGCAGAAAGGAAGGACCTGCGGTATCTCTTCTTCACACACCGCGGTGCGGTTACCATCCAGGGGGTAACGAGTCTCTGAACACAGCTGGCCTCTTCGCCAGTTTGCTCATTCTGTTCCTGCTACAGCAGACCACTCAATACCATACAGGATGGCTGATGCCACCACTGAGTCATAAAGAGTGAATGCTCCCTGAATCTCTCCGTCTCCTCAGCAGATGGCGTCTGCTCTGGCTGTCCTTGTTGTGTATGATATTCTTTATCACACATCCGACATCCCAATTCCTCTTCAGTGTGATCAATTCCCTAATACGCAGGTAGAAGACGCCCACTTTAGCCTTCTGAGTGAAACCTGTATCTACAGTATAACTCATTGAAGGGTGTATAGGTTGTATAAGTGCCACATGCTGATAGCCTATATTAGCTTATCTAAGAAGCATTTTATTATTTTTGTTGGTTACAGAGTAAACAAGTCCCTTAGTATTTGACCGACTAATTTAGTCCTAAAAAATGCCTCAAATTTTATATTTGGGTGATTCTCATAGACTGTTTCTTCAACCAGGTGTCCTGTGAACTTGTAGAAAAAAAACTTTCCCAAATCACACTAATCAAAGTCCCAAAAGGTTATCTGATTTGCCTAGTTTTAAGATACAAGAGTGGATGAACTACCATCACAACATCATTTGGTCATTTTTGACATATTATCTGACCCTTAATGAACTAATGTCATTTCCACCACATCTAAACAAACAGCATTTTGTTTAGAAATTGTATGACATATGACACCCCCAAATAAATGTATGACTATTCCATTTTGCAATTTTATACCATTTTACAATTTTTATACATTTGTAAATTAAATTAATTAAATGTCACAAGGATCAAATGGCTTAACACACATTTACCTCAATATAAAATCTAATGTTGGATTATGTAAATACTGGTTTGAAATAAATAAATAATAATATTTCATATAGTGGAGTATGATCTAACATATTGTGGAGAATGTATAATTAGAACTTTTTGAATGTTTTCCAAAAAATGTGTGCAGTGATTGAAATGACAGGGTGTTGTGGAAATGACAATTTATGTACGTTGATGTAGAAAATCTTAATTTGAAAACAGTGAACATGTTTATTTGAAATATTTATGTTGAAATGCAAAATGTGAGTTGATAATAGGTTCAATTAATCTGTAAACATAGTTTTACTGCTATTTATTTTTACAGTCCATATTGTCAGCATAACAGCATAAATGTAATTTCCTCCACAATGACTGTGATGGAAATGAAATCTTTACAGTATTTAGGGAAAAACTACAATCTAGCTTTACATTTTAGCTTTGATTTGATATTTATAAAGCTTATAAAATACACTTATTTAACTTAAATAATCTTTCCTCATACAAACTTCCATGGAGTTACAGCGTGTTTGGAAATGACGTACAATAAAAGTAATATCTGCTCCAGCAATATTTACCTTTATTTATCTTTAAAGGCAGCTCATGAACATCACAATAACCACCATATGAGACATGTGCTCCGTTGTCACTGTTGACTTCCTTAGTAACTGCCTAACCAATCTCTCTTACAGACGTTTTGGTGGGAAAATACATCAGTGTGGTGAAAATGACGGTTAAACTGTGTGACTGATATATTTTGTGTAAAAATGAATATATACAATTGTCTCACATTGAATACTAACATGTTTTTGGATTGTTTAAGTACTACTTAATACAACTACATCAACATTCATATGATTAATCCTGATTTATAATACATTTAAATTGTTGAACATATGAGGTTCAGGTGTGGGACAAGGGCAAAACAGTGACATTTAAGCGTATAAGATATTGGAAAGTAAAATATTGGAGAGAAGGTAAAAGTTTTTAAGACAGTTTTATTGTTTATTTATCAAAGAGAGACATTTTTTGTGAAAATTGTAAAAAAAAACAACAACAATATGACCAAAGGACATGAAAGTGCTTGTAGTCAAAGAACCACCCGTTTATGCTATGTCATTGGCTAAGTAAGACTCTTATTTACCTTTGTCAATTCGAAAATGGAAATTCGTCAGTATTATGCAGTCTACATATAGCCTATGTCCTTTGCTAAATAGGCTACTTATTAACTTTTTGCTGACAGTAGATAGGCTACTTGAAGATTTAATAAAATAAATCAGATCCCTGCTGGTTCATATATCTATATTGTTTTCTTTTGTGTGTCTATTTCTTTTACTTTTAGGTTTGGATTTATTCTTTCTTACCCCACTCCTATCTGTTTTTCATCGTGCTCTTGTTACTTTTTCCCCTTTCAGTTTTCTTCCCTCTTTAAGTTATCCCACATCTTCAATCATTTTGGAATTTGTCCCATGCAGCCTTGAGAGTATTGTTGTATTTGGACACAGATGCTTGCTTGCAGCATTTGCTGCCAGTCAGCCCAAACATCACAGTGTTGAGGGCATCGATCTGAGCGGTTGAGTTCTTACCAGAAATGAGTGGCAAAAAAGTAATTTGTAAATGGATCGGAAAAATGTAAATAACAAATACCACAATTTTGGCTGAAGAGGCTTCCCGATCTGTACACCCATTGAAACCTTTTTTGTGGATGCGAAAAATCCCCCCAAATAACAATTGAACCTTGGAAAAAAAGGAAGAAACTCCTGACAGAGGAGGAGGAATTAGGAGTTTTAGGCGTACAAAACAGAATTTATTGAATCAATGCAAATTGTGTCGATAGGGAAAATACAATATGTTTGGTATGGTGCAATACTATAACTGAATACAGTATATTGGCTTTTTATATAGGCTACCTGAACCTCACTTTAAACACTGGAGTGTTGTCATTATGTAATGGGAAAATGCCTGATACCTCAGCATTGACGTACACATTAGGCTATATAAAATAGTACATAGTACAGCTGTATACTTTGCCAGATACTGAAGTGTGTGGTTAATACTGCCTTCAGATGTTACTTAGTGGAAATATATCTGAATTTTGTACACTGTACTGCCATCTAACCACACACACTGTCCATTATTCTTTCATGGGATCTAATTCCTTCTCTGCATATCTTCATGTACATGTACCTCTGACCTATTTTAATTTCTTGTATTTTACAATGCCAATTTACTGTCTCCTCAGAATTCAGAGAACAC